GAAAAAAAAAAAGACAATCAAGCATGATGATTCTTATTACTTATTAAACAAATATGTATGACCACTACATGTACATACAGTAGACGTAGGAAAAATGTTGTGTTTCATTCACGTTTTCTGGCTGACCCTAGCAAAAAACCTGTTGACTCTAGCCTTTTTAAGCTCACTCTAATATCTGAATTTCAAACTTTTAAAATTCTGAAACATAATTTAATGCATTTTCAGAAGCAATTTTTTCTTCAGTTAACCAGGTGAAATATTTGTTCATACATTTGTTCATATCTACACACAGACACAACATACATATAAATTTGACCTTACAATTTCAAATTTATAGGTATCTTTATCAACATGTACATGATTGTATATATGTCACATATAGGACATAATTTTCATCTTCAAGTTTAATTCTACCAACAGAACATAAGCTACCAACACATTTTTTAAACACCAGGTTGAAGCATAGATTTTGTAACACTACATATAACTGTATACAAATAGGTCCTCTTTTTGGTAACACCCCAGGAGCAGACCCATTGATGCTGTACTTACTTGCTGTGACAGCTCCCTGGTAGGTGCACAGATCAGCCCAATGGGTCCATCCCCTGCCTCTAACTCCTTCTGGTCCATAATATGCACCAGCATGGGCCACACAAACGCAGCCGTTTTTCCGCTGCCCGTCTTCGCAATGCCGATGATGTCTCGGCCACTTAGAGCCACGGGAATTCCCTAGGATACATTCATAAGGAATACAATATAATTTATTTCCATTATATTATCAGCTTGATAATATAAAATGCATAACGTTTACCTTCACATGGTCTAGCCTAACAAACTTTGTTTATTCTTACTCAAATTCATAAAACAAATTAACATACATATGGGGACCAGCCCCTCCTACACTGTCCCACCACTTGCAACGTAATGTAACCCAACACTACAGGGTGTCTGCTAAGGCACCAGTTACCATGGTGACAGACGTATGGTACAGGTCATTGACCTTATTCATTTATTAGAATTGCAAACATAGCAATACAATGGAAGTCCTGGTAGCCATGGCTAATATCAGGCCCCACAAATTGACCTTATGTGTTTGGAGAAGAAGAAGAGGAGGAAGAAACAGAGCAAAAACAATGTTTTCTTCTGCGAAGGTAAACATAACAGTGAAACTGTACGAACCTGTGCCTGGATGGGTGTAGGCTGGGAGTATTCTGACTTCCTGATTTGATGCATGAGTTGCTCATCAAAACCAAAGTGGGCAAAACTGGTCACCAGTTTAGGAGGGGCAGCACCCGATATCTGTAACAAAAAAATCACAATCAGGTAACAGAAAATTATCTACACCAGGCAAATTTTACCTGCACCATTCAGGCTTTAGGAAGAATGGATCATACAAAAAAAAAAGGATTCAGAAACAATTGTCATTATTTCTTTGGTGGTAGCACGTTTACTCACCCTTATGTCCAGCTTTCTTCTGAGTTCGTTGACCTCTGCTGGTGAGAGTTTGGAGATATCTCCATGTTCTTCGTAGAAGTTCCTTTCAAAGTTCGGGTAATCAATCTGATAGGGAAAATAGCATTATTAGTAACAGAGCAGGTGTAGACTTTTACCTTAACTATGTAGATCATTTTACCTACAATAAGTACAATATTTGTTCATACATGTGATAGGCAAATACCACAAAATGACAAGCAAATTGACTTTGAAAATCCAGTGAAATCTCTTTGCATGCCTTTAAAGTTTCGAGTATGTAGGATTGGGATATACCAACCTCTGAGTGGTCTATGGGGGGCAGGGGGTCGATGATTTTCGACTTCTCTGGAACAATGGGGTTTCCATCCTCATCATATTCAACAATAGGGTCATCATCGTCTGGATTCACCCCTGCTAGAGGGTTCTCTTCCATGTACTTGAAGTATGACTCCTAGAACAAAGGAGGCATGAAATTTGGGATTAAACCATTGAAAACATAGAAACTTAAGTATGACATAGAAAAGTAACATTAGCAAAGTGAATGCATATATGAACCTTCATATGGTCTAGGACAAAAAAAGTACTGCTCTGTTCTTCTTATTCAAACACATTCATCTAGTACGTATATAGTGACCATCCCCTCCTACTTGCTACATAATGTAATCCAACACCACAGGGTGTCTGCTATAGCACCAGTTACCATGGTGATAGCCGTCTGGTCAAGGTCATTGACCTTATTTGTTTAGAAAAGAAACAGACAAGATTATGAAGCTATAACTATAAAGACATTCTACAATGAAGTAATTGCCATACCTGGTCATCCATTTCATCAATGTCAAATCTCTCTTCTCTGCATAAAGGAGACATAAATGTCATTAGAACATCAACAGAAATTTTTGCCCGAGTGATCATGATATCATGAGAAGTAGCGCGCATAGTCCAGTGGTTTAAGCAACCTACCCCTAGATTAAGAGTTTGGGAGTTCGAATCCCGGGTGTCGTTGCTCACGCATGCTACTGAAAAGGGTAGCAGTCCTTTGGTCGGGGCTTTATTAAATTATGGTCCACTGTTCATTGTGCTTGTCAAAAACAGCTAGGGGAATTTCCCCAGTACAATCATTGCAATAAACCTGTAAATACTGTACAGATCTGTCTTCTCTGTCATGACCAGTGGGAGATTAGCTCTCCAGTGAGCCAAAACTGGATCAAGATCACTTTCCTTTTTTTTTATCAATTTGAAAGAGATATACTTAAGCTTGATGTTACTGAAGGAGATAGACTTACTTTGTCTTCTTTTCATCTTTCTTGCCCATGTTCTCTAAGTCTCTTTGTGCTGCAGTTTCCACCTATAAACAGAAATCAAAAACAATTGCAAATGTTTTTTTTTTTTCAAGTAATGGCAGTTGATACCCTAACCTGGTATCCAAACGTATAATTTTCAGCTGCTGATTCTCTTTCATCCTCTCCAAAAACAGATGAAAAAAGAGACTTGGCAGCTGAAATAGGTTTGTACACCAGGCTGATTGATACCCGAACTGTGTTATCAAGTCCAAGGCATCCTTTTTTGCATAATAATACTAATAATAAAGCTTTCCTATGATGATGGAAGTTGTTACCTGTGCCATGAAGGAGTCCAGTGGATCCTCTTCACTGTCCTCATCACTGTCCGCAGGTTTACGTCCAGGACTGACCGCTGGGACATTACCTTCATCATCATCATCATCGTCAAAGTAACTGTACAACAACACGGAGCAACAGGAAATAAGGATAACTTCTATTCGTGCTGGCATTAAACCTACATACACACTCTGCAATAAAGACTACATAACACAAAACAATGTTGTACATTGTAATTTGTAAACATGCACGTGGACATATTTTGGTGGATCAAACACACTTTTTTGTAGTTTTCTGTATCTGCATCTGTATCTGTATCGCTGGTATAACAGACATAAACTGCACATGTAACACAATGGCAGGCCAAAACAGCTTAGGCCTAGGAAAAAAATGTTGTATAAGTTGGCTCACTAGAGATTGACAAAGTCTAAAAAAAAAAATTATAAACCCTACCTACCGACCCTAAGTTTTTCTGGACTGAAACAGGAAAGAGGAAACACAACATTTTCCCCCAGGCCTTACACGAGTAAATAAAGCAAGAAACCCTACACTATACACCCTGACCCACCTTTGCTCATCACTCATGGCGTGTCTCTTCCTCCCTACAGTAATGTCCATGTTAGTGAACACTCCCCCTCTTCCACTGCCCACGGGAGGAACCATTCCATAGTTGGGGGCGCTGCCTTTGTCGTCCTTTTTTCCCAGGGCAAAGCCACCGAAGCCAAACCCTCGCTTCTGGCCCCCTCCTCCTTTATGCCAGTTCATTTTGGCTACTCTGGATGTAGGTAATTATAAAAAGGATAAGTAAATCATTACATTACATCAAACTGACCAAGCCTTTTGATACAAAGCATTCAAAATACCACATGCAGTACATATGTTAGTACATACACCTAACCTGCATACATCCATGTAAGTTAGGTCTACATCTACAGGAACGAGTAAGTGTATGTGGATTTTTGCATTGTACCAAGTACATTAATTTTTTTGAATGATGTGTAAGAGAAATAATGGCAATAGTTTCTTAACTAACAGTTTTTAGGCAAGGAGGGTTAGGGTAATCCACACTTACTAAATTATAACTGGTGCAGGTAATTTTTGGTGTTACCTGCACCAGTGCAGATATGCAGAAATAAGTATTTCGAGCAATAATACATGTTCACGTGCTCTACAAGGTGTATATCAGGCTTGTGGAATGAATTCTAATTTGCATTTTTTTCTGATGAGTGGGGAGGGGGGCAAAGAAAAAAGAAAGGAAGGGGGTGCACAGCCAAAAGCTAAGGCATTAAGTACATACATCTTACAATGCAATTTCTTGAAGAGGGGGTGATCATGGATTTTTGGGCATGTAAATCTATTTTCTAGAAAATCACGCGCGTGTAACACGTTGTAAGCCTTTATATGAAAATTATGCGCATCTTCTTTATTAAAAGATAATGATAAATTGCGCAAACACGGCCTTGTGAGGCAAAACCTTTCACAACAAATCCACGAACACTTTTTCTATTGCCAGACACTTAACGTACATAGCCACAAGTAAGTAAGGTATTTGGTGAGCTACACTTACGAAAAGGTTGTGATACTACTAGTATATAGCCAGAAATAATTTTGGAGCTGCATGCTATGCGACTCGTAAATTATGCAAGCTTCGTTTTCGCCAGTGATTTGCTATCTAACCAAATGTACCACAAATACAAGCTACTATGCATCAAGCATACATATACGAACTTTGAGCGTCGAAAGAGTCTCACTTTTTGCAAGAAACGGGGATATATTTACCTTGTCTTGTTCCAAAATAGCACCAAGACCCGTGTGTTGTGTACTTGCGTACTACGTCATCAAAAATGTCGGATGGCAAAGGGCACGGTTCCACATCCGGGTCACGAGGAAATACCGGAAATAGAACAGGTGCATAGTGATGTGGGATGTTCCAGACAGATTTGACGAAAAAAAACATACAAATTTGGTTCGAGCCGCTCAGCCCTTACTCAAAACGTAGAATATGCTAGAACGTAATTTCAGCGTTTAGTAAAGGTATCCAATGCAATTTCAGGGTGGCAAGACTGATTTTTAAGTCACTTTGTGGTCATTCTTTAAAGTAGGAAGTTGAATCAATGATGACATAACGTTACCTGTGAGACAAAAATGCGATGTCACTGACAGAAAATGATTGCATGTTTTGTATCCTATGCTGGTTTTAGCTATTTATGGGTGGTACAAAAAAAACAAAGACGGCACTCGTAGCTATAGCTTGTTTGGGTGCTTTTTCAAACGCTTCATATATGAAATGATGCTAAGAAATTGTCAAAATTAGACAGATTTCCCCATCCAGAATATTTGTAGTTTTTTTTGTGTGTGTGTGTGTGTGTGTGTGTGTGTGTGTGTGTGTGTGTGTGTGTGTGTGTGTGTGTGTGTGTGTGTGTTTGTTACCCTGAAATTGCATTTCATTTCTTTAAGCTATTTAGGCGACTTAGATACACGTACTAATCAGTCAGCCGTCTGCTCCTAGCTCATTCTTTCTTTCATTCTCACCTCTCTGTTTTCTTTCTGACGAGCTATCAAAGTTTGGAAACGATATAGGATAAGCCTCTTAAGTTGACCTGACTAATAGTCCAACGTTGTATCAAGAAAAATACTCCACAAGATGTTCCAATCTGCATTTTATTGACCGTTTTCCTGCATTTATTGAACTTTTTTAAGAATCATTCATTTTAATTGTGTTCAATGTGTCTCAGTATGTAATAGATAAGTAGCGTACTTTTTAAATCACCATTATAGAAACACGCAACTAAATGTGTTTTGAAGAATAAACTTTTCAACGTTGAATTCATTCAATCCAGGACGAACAACATAATCAAAAGGTTTCTTTTTATGTACATACGGTCTTCTAATGTTACATCTTTATATATAGGTCATAAAGATGGGTCGTATGTTCTAGGACATATTAAGGCTGTCACAGCACAGAAAATATTGTCCCTTAAAGACATTACGATCCTATTTTTAAGCCACTGCCAAGTTTTTCATCTCGTCCATGACTTCGGACGCTTCTCCGCAGATTTGGACACAGTCGATCTCGGATATTTTCTGGGCCTGCGCACTTGGCTTCGTCGTGACGTCACCGGTGACGTCAACACTCTGTGACCGTGTCTCCTGGTGGATGACCTCAGTTGACCCCTCAGGATCGGCAAACAGTTCGTCACCCTCTGAGTGGCGCCTTGTTCTAGAGGCCCTTAATTTTCTGACGAAAAAAAACATTAAAAGTAAAAGTTAGTCATTATAGTAAAATATTAGTAGTCTGCATGGACATAGAGGGCTGCGTAGATAGTATTTGTCTTGTTTGTTGGTTTGTTTGTTTGTTTGTTTACACAATAAAATACAAACAAAATAAGTAGAAAAACAATGTTCAGGAGGGAGTAAGAAACCTACAGAGCTTGTTGAAAGCATTCCTCCTTCCTAACTTACTTATAATTAACAAATGATAATGATATAGCAAAGAAAACTAATACATGTACATATAAAGGAATATACTGAAACTAATGCAGTTATTGAAAATAAAACAACGTAAGCAAATTAATGAAAATGATATATTTGTACGTCTCTGACATACTGATATTTTTTCACTAATTTCAGTTTAACAATGCAATATGGCATTAACAATTTAATCTAACGATAACAAGCGGAGCCCTTAAATTTTTTTTTTTTTTTGCTTGCTTGCTTGTTTGTTTTAATTCTTGGTCCCTGACGGTAACAACTTTGTAAACTTACGCCCTGGCGCACCCCGGGTCGCCCGGTGGGAAAGCCCGTGTGAAGGTGGCGGCGGCGATCCCCTCCCGACTGGGCGGCTCCACCGTCAGCTTATACTCTCCTGGGCAGCGGTGTAGCTTTCTGTAAGGAAAACGTTAGAGAGGGTCACTGACAGCAAGTCTAAAAGGAACACCAATCTTTACTGTAGTGATAACATCCACTAAGAACAACCTAGCCATTCTGATTTGTTAATGTTAACGTTCATAATAACGCAAATTATTTTCCCATTAACGCATCCATTGACGCGAGTTATTAAGAAACAATACAAAGAAAAGTGGGGCTGCACTCAGGTTACACACTTATATTAACAGCCCCGTTTAAGAATGTAGTTGGACCGCGCCTGTTGTAACAACAACATTAGCAACGAATATAAAAAGATTAATACAAAATAAAATTCAGAATTTATCAGCAAGTCCAATTCTTCTTACATTTGTATGCTCTACTGATATCTGTAGATTTGAAAGGTTCCAATTCATGCATGTAATAGTAACGTAACAGGTGAATTCTAGTCGTTGTACTCACACTTTTCTGTAGTCTCCCCCCGGACGACTGACGCCCTCTGTCTCGTCAGAGCCCTGGTTCACACAGGTGTTCAGCGTCAGGTGGTGTTCTCCCTCACAACGGTGCAGGTCAAAACTCGGGTCAGAGCTGAGAAAACACTCATGATCTTCAGTAATCATAAGTTCCTAATTTGAGTTAATCAAAGCAAATTTATGGTCCTTGGTGGTAAATGTGCACTTCTTCTCAACACCAAATCGACATCACGCTTTCGGCTTCCGTAAAGTCAGTGCAGTGATCGTACATTTTAAGAAGGTCGACGAGATCGACTGAAAATTCATGGCGAGTGTGTTTTCTGGTGTTGGATCAAAGCTTCGTAAACTCTACAACCAAATTCTTCTGTGTCAATGTCAATGAATGTTACTTCCTGAACACTCTTTAAACTTGAGCTGAGAGACCGTCAGTGGGGGTCACTCTATACTGTACAATGTCGAAAGTCGTGTAAAGTTAGTCGCTGAGAACCTGGATTATCCTAACACATGAATATACACCCTATATTTTGTCAAGCGTCGTTATATACTAAAACATCGCCACCGCTGTATTTGTAAGTCAAGTCTGCTCATTTAACTACTTTTTCATACCTGCTACTAATGAACCGTTTTGCTGCAGGGCCAGGATCCATCTTGATGTTGTTGAAGTCTACGTTTGACGCTGAACTCCTTTGTTGTTGTAGTGTTTCACAGAAAATGGTAACCTGCGTGACTATGTTTAGAGAAAACACACGTGCGTATGTCCCCTAGTAACTTCTTAACACTTTATTGCGTCACACAGGTTTAGACAATGGGTTATTAAGGTATGTTCCATTGTTCCATCAGGTCAATGTCGCAGTTACGTCATGGGGAAACCCATTGTTACGTCATATTGGGAGCACCCATTGTTACGTCATGGAGGAAGCCTACTATTACGTCATAGCCAAACCCATTGTTACGACGTGGAGATGTACTGTAGACATGCGGTAGCTTCGTACGGTTACATCAAAAACAACGACGTTGGAAGTTTGACTCCAATCATGTCTATCGTAAGTAGTTTAAACGTGTTTGATTCTTACAAGTGAACAAGCAAAGGACACATCTAATTGTTTTTTTGTCGTAGGTTTGTGAAGAAATAGGTTCATTTTGCAGGTTTCTTCGTAGGCGCGCAGCACGATACGTGTAACTGTCGGCATGCATACGGCACCGTTCCAGAACACCCAAATAATAGTTCTAAGCGTTCCTATTACAAATGTATGTGGATAGATCGACGATATTATAACCGCCTAAGATATTGAAGTCATAGGTTTGTTTTAGATTTCCTGCCTTGTGTCTTTGTGTCACATCATTGAAAAATAAGAAGTGAGAAAGGAACGTCCCTCACCGTCATCTAATATTTCCTCACGCTCCTCTCTCATGAAAAACACGATGATGATATGAAAAAAATTTATTTTTAAGATCAGTCACTACAATAAGGCAGCAGACATATCAAACATAGCTAAACTAACATATAAAAATATCTTTATTCTAGTGTTATACCATAGTAAAAAGTCACTTTTTTACCTACTATTATTTCGAAACTAATTTCTAGACTACTACATTTCAGTCTTGTTGGGCAAATTTATAAACATGCTAGCCTGGGTGCCATCCTTCGTAGTGGCCACCGCATTCCTATTATGACTACCACGGCCAACGACAATAGGGTCACGGTGGTAACTACGGAGGATGGCACCCAGACTATACCCCCTCCCCTAACTTTATACAACATAACATTGCTACTTTAGATATTGTACCACTATGGGAGTTGTTACAACTCACTAACTAATGACATGCAGGCAAAACTAGCAATAAAATGAATACTAGTAAGTGAATGTTCTATGAGAATTTAAAGTCTAACAATATGCATATTCACATACAGCAAAAGTAGTAACCGAAACATAACTAATGCTCATATGTACACCTAGCAGACTGAACTGCCTGCCACAGATCTTCCCCTTCGAAAGATTCTTGAAGTTACACCAAGGACTGAACCGCATGCATGCAATTAATCTCCACCAGACTCTTTTGCAGATTTCAGTTAATCAGCTGACTAAACTGAACTGCCTACTGTACTCCACTTTAAGGTCTTAGCAAGTGTGACTTAGGAGGTGCTTTTTTAGATGATTAAGCCGACGAAACTTCTTGTTACATTCGTTACAATTGTAGGTCTTCTCAGCGGTGAGTACGTATGTGTTTCTTCAAGTTACTAATGTCACTGAATGATTTGCTACACTCCTCACACGTGTAGGGCTTCTCCCCGGTATGATGACGTATGTGCCTCTTCAACGATTCCATTTGACTGAACTGCCTGCTGCACTCCTCACACGTGTATGGTTTCTCTCCTGTGTGAGTCCGCAAGTGCGTCTTCAAATTAGAAAGGCTATTGAATGATGTGCCGCACTCCTCACATGTGTAGGGTTTCTCCCCGGTGTGAGTGCGCATGTGTGTCTTCAAGTTACAAAGCTCACTGAATGATTTGCTGCACTCCTCACACGTGTAGGGCTTCTCCCCGGTGTGAGTACGCATGTGTCTCTCTAAATCCTTCTTTCGTCTGAACTCCCTGCTGCACTCCTCACACATGTAGGGTTTCTCTCCGGTATGAGTGCGCATGTGTGTCTTCAAGTTACAAAGAACACTGAACGATTTGCTGCACTCCTCACACGTGTAGGGTTTCTCCCCGGTGTGAGTCCGCATGTGTTGCTTCAACTTACAAAGCTCACTGAATGATTGGCTACACTCCTCACACCTGTAGGGCTTCTCCCCAGTGTGAGTACGCATGTGTATCTCTAAATCCTTCTTTTGTCTGAACTGTCTGCTACACTCCTCACACGTGTAGGGTCTCTCCCCGGTATGAGTGCGCATGTGTGTCTTCAGGTTACAAAGGACACTGAACGATTTGCTGCACTCCTCACACGTGTAGGGTTTCTCCCCTGTATGAGTGCGCATGTGAAGCTTTAAACCATGCTTCCTGCTGAATTGCCTGCCGCACTCCTCACACTGAAACTTCGAGGGTCTGTCGTCTCTTAGAGCCTGCATGTTTCCCTTCAAATCACTCTTCTTGTCAAGCTCTCTAGGCCTGTTGCAATCCTCTTCTGCAAGACCGTTGTTGACCGTTGTTGAGCTGTTGTCTGTAGGCTCTAAGGTCGCAAAAGCCACCTCTGCCACTGAAAGATGAATGAAACACAAATAAGCCACATTGTATCCTAAAATAGCCGTTGTCAGGGAAAATTATTCATAAACCTCGTGCATTGGACTGTTAAAAAAAAATAACTGTAGAGGGGGTGGGGTTGCAAGAGGCTGGATTGGAGGGAGGCCCTGGGAGGGTTTGCCAAAATTTGGACCAGGGTTTGAGCAACATCTGGATTGCAACTAGCTTATAGGGTAGGACCCCAATGTTCATTTTTGACCTCTTTCACCCCTCCATTTTACATTTCTTTTTTGAACAGCACTAGCCCAGTGTAAGTCAAGTTACATTGTTCAATCGATGCCATTTCTTTTAACGGTATGTAAATGTAAAAAACTTGACTCGTACCCGTATACAAACACAAAAATGCTCAATTCCCATCAATGGACCATTCTTTGTGATTAGATACCTGGGACCGTGATGCACATAATTTGTTCATTAGTCTCCACCAGACCCCTTTGCAGGCTGAATAAACAGCCCTAAAATTAATGTAGCTGGTCAAGGGGAGTTTATAGCAGGCCATTAATTTTCAGGCCGATTTCTACTGTTTATTCAGCCTGCGATCCACTCGACTATAAATATCTTGAATTGTCCTGAATGCCGTCCGTACCCTCGTGTACCCGTTCCCTTTGTTAAAACTTGTGTGGTTCGACATATTTGTTCTGCATGGGCACTTTGTTGACTAGTGGTAGCCTGGTTACCAAACCTATTATAGCTCCCGAGTCCTACATCCTCTCCGCAAGGATGTAAGACTCGGGAGCTATAATAGGTTTGGTAACCAGGCTAGACTAGTGGGGCTTTTCACTTGCAAATTGTCATGTAATTTGTTGAAAGCCCAATTTGTTTTAGCATGGAGTTAAAAAGATAACCTCTTTGGTTTTAGCGACCATCTTCGCTTCTCACTGTTGAATTTTCATGAATTCTATCAGACAGCTTTGTGCCGGAAAAGTGTGTTTTTCCGTTCTGTAGTGGGGTTGTGTGGCGTAGCGGCAGAGCTGGGCGATGATAGTAACTATTAGTGAACCGTCCCCAACCCTCATCCGAGTAACAGGAGTTGGGCGATGATGGAAACCAGATGTGAAGCAACGCGGTTTTGAGGCCAACCTCGTTGGGCCAACAAAGGGGATCGTGGTATCCGTGTCCACCTATATTTTGTAAATATTACCCCCCAAAACCACATTTCTCTACATCAACAGCTACAAAAAAATTGCCCAAAACTCTACTTTTTTGTGACATTGTACTTTGATTATACCAGTCGAGCATGATCAAAGATCATTCACCCCTATTCACACCCTTCTGATATGTTTGACACAAGTTGACACAACATGTGAACCCCTCACGACAATCCACGTTTTGTCTCCTAATTCTCTACTTTTCCATTCATAAACTACTCGGTACAAGGATTCGTTAGTAGATCTTACCTTGCGTGCAATTTGTGAATAAAACTGCCGAAAACAGGAGCACACTTCGAGAAATGTGGACGAAACCTCTGCACAACGATCGCAGCGCGCGCCTTTCCCCAACAGGAAATAGCTGATGACGACCCGGAAGTAGTACTAGTAGTATCGAAGTTGGAGGTCACGTACCTGATTACCGCTTGAGAATCTGAAGATAGGCGTTCAACGACTACAGGCATTCTACTAGGCATTTTCATTATAAATCCATTATAAATGTGGCCAATCCCCCACAGTAGACGGCACCTATTCTAATGCAATTTACTGTCAGCGAAATTTCATCTAGATTTTCTTTTTACTCCCGAATCCACAGACCTTGATTGAAGACCACTGTTTTTGATTGATGACCACTTTTTTAGAGTCGAACAATTTTATTTCGTAACACATCGACTTTCATGAATAATGGTATCAAATCGATGAGATACAGATCTACATGTATTAGTATTACACCTACATATACATGTACCTACATAAGGAATATATTCGTGTCAACTATACCATAATTAACCATCTATTAACAACGAAGAGTGACTCTTAAATTAACAAAATTCTATCAGTTTTACATAGCTATCAAAAACTACTTTATGGTTTATTAATCAAGTTATTTGATAAGCTGGCACTAAACTTTACTTTACTTTGGTCGAGCTCCCGCTGGCACTAAAAGGGGCTAATGAAAATCAAAAAGATATTCATACTAGTAAAATATACATAATACACTAGTCTAATCATACCATACATTCAATTATACCATGTATTAAGGGCAACGTTTTCCGCTATATACATATATTAGTGACTTTTTTTACAAATGTTGACAATGAGTTTTACATTGTCGGACCTGGTGAACACCATATGTATAAAAATTAAAAAAAAACGTCACAATCCATATCAGTTATTTTGAATATTCCTCCACTGTTTGTAGATCTCCTCTTTAGGGGTTCCCCACCACAATTCGATGAATTTCCAGACACTTCCTGCTGTGAACATGAGGTATTCTGTATTCTCAGGATGGAGGCTGGCGGTGTAGTGCCCCAACACGTATGACTGCAAGGCCCTGGCAGCAACACAGTAGTACAACACATCCCACTCTGCAGGCGTCAGGGCACGGACACTTTCATATCCTGTGGAACAAAACATGACAAGATGTATGTAGTTTCAGAGTACTCAACCTGTTTCAAAGTCCTTCATAATACAATGCACAAAATGCAATATGTAATATTTTGAAACTAGTCTCACTAGTCTTAGTCTTTCTCTCTCTTTTCTGTGTATTGAAGGTTGAGTATAATTACCCTCCATGTAAATGGGGGGTATTGTTTTTACTCCGTTTCATGTTTGGTCTGATATCTGAAGATCGGTGAGAAGGAACTGTATGATATTTGGCAGATTGATGGATGGGGCCTTGGAGATTGTTTAGGTTGACTTTGAGCCCCTGGTGATTGACCTTGGTACTGCAGTTTAATTTTTTTATTCTATTGTTGTCGCGTTATGGACTGTTTGTGCGATATTAAGGTAGCATGTTGTTGTTATTACCATGGTTTAGTGGTTTAAATTTGGGTCCCCTAGCTGTTTGCGTTTGATATTTACAAAATGTTTAACGTTGGACTTTTTGTGTTGAATGTTTGGAAAATCTGGTGGATGGTTTGGTATGATATTTGGTATGCGGGTAGTTGTTGAGTCTCTTTGTGTTTTGGAGTGCATTAGCAGGTTGTCGTATATTTGTATTGCTTAATTTAAAAGGATTTTCACATTTTCACCCCTATTTCATAATAGGATGGTCTGTTTGACCCCAAACTTTGGACGGAGTGTTTTTGTTTATACCTCCAGCTGGCAGGTCAGGCCCAGGCATCCAATCTATTTTTACCCTAGACAGAGTCTGCAGAAAATATCGTGTGGTTGTGTTTGGGTCACTGAATGGGGTTTGAATTTGTTTATGTGTGCTTGAGAGGTCATTGACCTCACCTCAATATGGTTGGTTGGTTGGTTGTCTGTTAGTGCTGTTAATGATAGTTTATTGATCCAAAGTAGGGTCTGTGATGTACATGTTTAGTCAGTTGTTCAAATTTGTGTCTGCAGATGGTGGGTAATTTGAAGGTGAAATTTTGTGTATCATTGAAATTCCTGAGGCTGTTGATGTCAGGACGGAGGTAATAAATCTTGTTTGTCTGGTCTGCAGGTCATTTGCCTGTCTGGTCACTGACCTACATGAGGCAAATGACCTGCAGGCCATCAAAGTAAACAAACCATGGTAACAAGACACAACGCTTGCACATGACAGCTTGATAAATATAGGAGGGCCTGCATGCCCTTTTTCGTTAACCGTTATGGGCTATTTTGATTTACCGTTAATCGTTGCCGGCCCGCTCTAATTTAACGTTAAGCGTTATCGGTATATTCATCATGAAGCGTTATTGGTCGTTTTAATTCAACGTAAAACCTTATTTGTCATCCTAAATTCAGCGTTAAGTGTTAATGAATAATTCTTCGTTACGCCTAATTTTGCCTTTCTAAGTGCAGGAAAATGCGTCATTGAAAGTTAAAAATACCAAATTTCCCGGGGGAGAATACCCCTGGACCCCCCTACACTGCTCGCGCCTTCTGCGCTCGGTCCCTTCGGCTCTAGCCAGCACTAGTTTTCCGTAGATTACCGGAAGTTTGCGGAGAGTTACAGAATTTTTTAACGAATCCGTCAACCTTGACAGACAAAATTAACAAAAATCTTGAGTAAAAATATGAAAACATCAGAAGGACCGACAAACACTCTCAACACCATGATTTGTCTCTCAAAATGCGGGAAACTGCGTTTCTGAAGGCTTAGAAATCCTAAATTTCCCGGGGGAACATCCCCCGGACCCCCTCAGATTGCGAGCGCTTTCGGCGCCCCCCTCTCAAAATCCATGATAAAACTGGGCGAACGGAAAAAAGTCAAGCTGGGTAGAGCCCTGGCCGACGTCGACTCGGACTCTCCTTTATTTGTGGACGCACTCGGGGACCACGGCAGGTGGGAAACACAGGGAACACATACCTTTAATGCGTTCTTCACAGATTACATGTAAGGTATACGAAATTTTGTCAGTGATCACCTTTTCTCACAAAGCGAGATACCAAATCCAGTGCAGCTCGAAAAAAAGCCTGTCAATTTACCGTTAAGCGTTGCAGACCGTCCTGAATTTACCGTTAAGCGTTATCGGCCCTGCTGAATTTACCGTTAACCATTGCCAGGACCCCCCCATGCAGACCCCCATATAGGCAACCCCTTCCAATACAAAGTGCCACCACAAATCATTCTGCTGATAAAAACAAAGTTTGACTCATAATATCTCTATTGAAATACACCAAAAGATTGCAAAATAACAAGCTATTTCATGGAGGGATGATGTCTACGACTTCTCCTTGTTTGGGAGTTTAATCACTCTGCAGTGGATGTGGGTCAGGGTAATCCTTTATTGTACAAGCCTGACGTGTAGCTTACTAACCTGCTACAAGTTGTCCCCCGAATGAGAAAGGATCCTTTAATACTACTGACATGAAGTACATCAGGGCGATGGCAAGGTCAAATATGTAGGGGTCAACGATGATGCCACCATAGTCCAGAAGCCCACAAACTCTGTACTCACTGGGGGTTACAGGATCCTCCTCTACCAGGACATTCTGCTCATTGAAATCTCCATGCATCACTCCTGGAGAGATATCCACAACCGTAAACAATGTCATTACATGGTATGGTGGCCTTTCAATTAAATAGAGATGTCATCTTAGACCACATCACCTCACCTTGTAGTGAAGAAGTGCAATAGGAGCATGGCCCAAGTAAGCAGGGTGGGAAATCACTTCTGCCGAAGCACAGGATAGAACTCACTCAAGCCCTGGTACTGACACATCTAGACTACTACAACTCAGTGTGGGCCAGCACAACTGCAAAGAACATGAAGTGGCTGCAAGTGATACAGAACAGAGCAGCCAGGCTCAACCCGGGAAGCGACAGGTACACAAGCAAGGACAGGATGCTAAAGAAGCTGGGATGGCTACCAGTGAAAGACCACCAGAAAGGAATGAGAACTTTCAGTAGCATAATAAAGGAAAAACAACCCATATCATTATATAAGAATATCACAATGCAGTCACATGGGTACCATACCACAACATCAGACTCACAGACCATCCGCCGCCCTAAACCTCAAACAAATGCACAGAAAAGGACATTTTTGTATAGGATGGCCAGTGCCTGGAATGAAATGAAGTGGTGATGATGTATATACTAGTAGCCTTTTTCTAAGCTGTGTTAACATGTTGTAATTGTTGCCAATGTATTTATGTTTTGTAAATGTGTCATGTGTGTCTTGAAGGACCACAGGAAGAATAGCTACAATACATTTTTTGTAAGCTAAGTGTGGATCCCATTAAAGTCAAGTCAAACACATTAAAGAGTCCATATTAGTACTCATCCCTAAGATTCAGAATCATCCCTATTTGAGAGGGTCAAACCTAGAAAGAAAATAAGCAAACAAACTTTCTTTCTACTTACCTTGTTGAAGGTCATCCATGCGTGGCAGCACTTTTTCTCTGAAAGCTTGAATGATCTCTCTGATTATGTCTACATGAGGGTCCTCTTTCAGGCAGTGCAGGTGCTTCTCAAGGCTAGGGACATATCTTAGGCTCCACACAAAGTCTGGTCTGTGCAAGGCTGGATGAGAAAAATCCTGGTGGAAAGAAATGAACCAAACTGGAATTGTAGTTAGAAATCAACTTTTACAATGCAAGTTGAAGGAAGGGGAAATTCAACTGTCTTGTGATGAAATTGATAAATGCAAAGTATAATGAATGTTCACGATGACTCAAAAATGAGATGTATACTTTTATACTTATATCATTTTTAGATCAAAGAAACAAAAACACTCTGTGAGACATACAGTATCTCTCAGACCACAATATTCATTATACTAGAGCAGCATGTGCATTACACGCCACTTTTGCAAGGTGTTTAGCCACCTACAGCAATAGGTGAACTTACCCTCAAGGCTTTCTGTACTTTGGCTAGAAAAGCACCAGCCTCGTAGGCTAAGTGGTGAGTGACTGGAACATTGTGGTATACGGTCCCAGGGAGGTATGTCAGAAGGCGAACAATGTTGTGAGAATAGCTAACTGTACCACAAAGGAGAAGGCCAAAATCAAGAGACTGATCACAGATGTTCATACTGTCATCAGGCCTAGTTGTAAAATCGGAACCAACTTTGATTTGCTAAGAAAATTAAAGCAAAACTACTAACTTATGGATACAAAAATCACATTTCCACACATTAAATCACATTACACTGCACTTTCTTGCAACTGTTGTGTTTGGCAATGTTTATTTTTGTTGGTACATGTACATGTGTACATTTTGATATAATATCTAATATTTGAGTAATCAAAGAAAGGATGTACACTATAAATCTTTTGGGGTTACGTTCAAACGTATAATAGTGTACCATTTTCGTTCTTCAGTAGTTGTTCCAGGCTCATGTCTCTACCCTGGAGGTTTGGCACGACTCTGGGCACTGGGAATCCTCTGTCTGCTAGGAATGCCATCATCTTGTTCTGTGCCTCTATCAGATCTAGGACATCAGCAAATACAACATAAGAAGAAAAAAGAATTTTATACAAGTGGCATAAAGTATTTAACAGGGACAAAAGAGAGAAATATCATGGAGTTTATTCAAGACTGGTTCTAGACTAGAACCCCACATTTCACTGCACATTTGAGGTAGGCAGCACCCATCTTCAAAATCATTTTGCCGTCCAAACACAGATAAGTGGTACGTGTTGAACTTTAAATTTCACGAAACCTTTCCCAAGTACAGCTTACTACAACAAGTCTTTTAAGATTAACAATACAAGTCTTTTCATAATTAAAATTATGAATGTAGTAAGATGCTAGACACAAGAACATTATACAGCGTGACCAAAGATGAATGTATACGCAGGGTTATTATTGCCCAATCATGAATGGCATCACTAAATTTACTATAGTAATGCATTTCACACGTTGGTGATAAATATTAGTAATCCTTTAATTAAAGTCCAGTATCCTTTACTCTGACTGAGTCTGAGTCATCCTGTATATTAGGGAACAATTCAACATGCAATACTTGGACCACAACAGTAGGCTTAGTGCATAATCTACTGAAGGTGTTTTCTGTCCTTCATAATCTCTTCTAGCTTAGTTAGATCTTGTACATAACTAGCCTGACAAAATTGCATTAAATTAGCCCCAGCCAGTGAAAGATTGTGTAAACACAGGCTAGTACATGTACCTGACCAGTCTGAGAAACTTACCCTCATTTTTCGACTCGGTGCCATTCGTAACCTTCAACGTGTACCCATGAGCCCATGGGGCAGGGCCATCAACTGTCACATAGAAGTTCATGTCATAATAGCTGTCCAGTGGCTTTACAGACTTGACCTTGAGCCCATAGAGTCTCTCCACCAGCTGTCCTGCCTGCTCCTCGGTCAGGTGAGGTTTCTCCAGAATCTCTTCAGCTTTCTCAGACTGGGCCATGCTGATGCCTGTAGTAAATGAATGATCATGATATGAAAAAAAAATCCTCAAATTCTCATTTCTTCCCTCCTGGGCCATGTATACTATACATTCTATCACTCGGGCATAAACAAAGATCAATCACCCCCATGCACACCCTTGTGATATGTTATCACAACATGTGAAACCCTCATGACAACATAACAGCCACGTTTTGTCTCCTAATTCTCAACTCTCGCCATTCATAAACTTCTTGGTGCAATAATTCGTAAACAGATCTTACCTTGCATACAATCTGTGGGTAAAATAGCCGAAAACAGGACCGTGTCCTTCGAGAAATGTGGAGAAACCTCTGCACAACTACTAGTACTTAGTATCACAACGCGCGTCAACAGTAAGTAGCTGATGACGACCCGGAAGTAGTAGTATCAAAGTTGCGAAGTTCGAAGAGGTCACCTACCTGATTATCGCTTGAGAATCTGAAGATATGCGTTCAACGACTAGTCGACTACATGCCATTCAACCAGTGTGTCCCTATTACAGGAACCAAGCGTTGTCCGGTACGTTATGGAATAAAATTGAGCCCTGTATTTCATTATAAACCTCTTGTAAATGTGGCGACTCGACCACACCAGACGAAACCAATTCTAATGCAATTTTTTTGTTTGTGAAATTTGATCTACATTTTCTTTTTTTTACTCACGGATCCACAGACCTCGATTGATGACCACGTTTTCTTTCTGTCGAACGACTTTATTTCGTAACATTTCGACTTTCATAAACAACAGTATCAAATCACATACAGATCTATCACCTACAGATGGAGTCTATTTATATGAAAACATCACAGGAAGGCCATGTATATATAACTATTCCCAGGCTGTGCCTAAGCCCTACAATTTCTATAAAAAGTAACATGATGCAGGTCCTATATGAACAACCCTACCATCAAACTATCAAACAATCAACAAAGAAGGGTAACGAAACGATGTGCGATACTAAAGATAGAACAAAACAAGTGCTTACTCTCTAATTAAACTAGTGCTTACTCTTAGTCAACGAGTGTTAACTCGACATTTAACATATTTCGGATAGTTGGACCCAATAATGATTGCTACAAGTAATTTGCTAAACTTCCGGAATAGGGGTCACTGACTAACGCCTCACACTTAACAATATAAGAATAACAAAAAAGTCCCAAGAGTAAATCTGAAGAATAGTGTACCAAATCAGGTGACAGCGAGGTGTGCAAATCAGTGTACACTATATTTGAATTACATGGCAATGTGTGTAGCCGTAGGACGTCTATGAACGATCCAAAGAAATGCACAAATCATGATTGTCTGTGTCTAAGTTGCGTGCAAGCTTAAAATTTCTTGTGTGTAGTCATTGACACACAGTCACAACCTACAGAGGTAACAAACCAGACATTGTCCGTTGTCATTTTCTGTGAAAGAGTTATGACAGATAACTCAGTTTCGTGTGAAACTTTAGACGACCCATCAATGTAGAGAATGCACTGAACGTACACTCCTTTATGATTGCTTTCCAGTGTGGGTGCGCATGTGCATCTTCAGTGTTCTACGACTTCCGAATTGCTTCCTACACTCCTCACACCTGTAGGGTTTCTCTCCAGTGTGAGTGCGCATGTGAGTCTTTATATGACCCAGCAGGCTGAACTGCCTGCTACACTCCTCACATCTGTAGGGTTTCTCTCCTGTGTGAGTGCGTCTGTGGGTCTTTAAACTACCCAGATGACTGAACTGCCTGCCGCACTCCTCACATCTGTAGGGTTTCTCTCCAGTGTGAGTGCGCATGTGAGTCTTCAGATTACTCAGCAGTCTGAACTGCCTGCTACACTCCTCACATCTGTAGGGTTTCTCTCCTGTGTGAGTGCGCATGTGTCTCTTCAGAGTACTTGGATCACAGAACTGCCTGCTACACTCCTCACACCTGTAGGGTTTCTCCCCCGTGTGAGTGTGCATGTGGTTCTTTAGACTACACAGTTGACTGAACTGCCTGCTGCACTCCTCACACTTGTAGGGTTTCTCCCCTGTGTGAGTACGTATGTGTTTCTTCAGAGTACTTGGATCATAGAACTGCCTGCTACACTCCTCACACCTGTAGGGTTTCTCTCCTGTGTGAGTGCGTCTGTGGGTCTTTAAACTACCCAGCTGGCTAAACTGCCTGCTACACTCCTCACACTTGTGGGGTTTCTCCCCCGTGTGAGTCCGTATGTGTATCTTCAGAGTACTTGGATCACAGAACTGCCTGTTGCACTTCACACACCTGTAGGGTTTCTCTCCGGTGTGAGTCCGCATGTGAGTCTTCAGACTACCCAGCCGACTGAACTGCCTGCTGCACTCCTCACATCTGTAGGGTTTCTCCCCCATGTGGGTAAGTATGTGGTTCTTTAGACTACCCAGCCGACTGAACTGCCTGCTGCACTCCTCACACCTGTAGGGCTTCTCACCTGTGTGAGTCCGCATGTGAGTATTCAGACTACCCTGCCGACTGAACTGCCTTCTGCACTCCTCACATCTGTAGGGTTTCTCATCCATGTGAGTGCGCATGTGTCTCTTCAGAGAACGACAGCTCCCAAACTCCTCACACGTTGCAGGACTCCTTGTAAACTTCCCATCTTGACCAGCACTGTCAGTGCCATGGCATCTGCCAGCTGTTGCCATGGTAACCTCTGCAACATGGAAAATACCAGTAACCGTAAATAACAGGCCTATGCAAACAATTTCTATTACAACATCTACTTGGAGATGAATCTGGGCTCGTGAACTGGATGATCCCCAAATATCTCTTAGTCATGCTACATTGCACTTGCCCCATCTGCGTGGATGCCCCTCCTCCCCACATTTATGTTTCTACAACTTGATTAGAATAATATACAGTAACACTGTACATAACAGTAACAGTATTAAGGATCAAGAACGTGTACATGTGCACATGTTTCACTTTGCTTAAGATTGGTGATTGGCTGATTCTGAGGACTTATCCAGTCGTTTGATTCTGTACTGAGTGACTAGCCTCTACCAGGCTTGAGGGCACGGCTGGAATTATAGTAGAAATCGGCCCGAAATAGAGAGATAACACGCCGAGGGAGTTTAGCCATCCAGTTTACAGTTTGCCGGCCCACAACACTGGATTATTTATATCGATAATTATCACTAGCTTTGCTAAATTATCTTGAAAATAAGGAACAGAGACTCTCGAATATGCGTTTTGATGCAACGCGTAATTTGACCTTTGGCCTGAAGAAGCCGCCGGTCTGCCGGACGCGCCCCACCGCGCGTAAATTAATTTACGGCTTAAATGATCTGAACTCCGAAGCTACTGTCTTTGTACAGAAAACGAGTGGATTAGTTTTATTGCCTTTGAACATAGCGATATTCCACAGGCTTGTGGGCCGGCAAACTGTAAACTGGATGGCTAAACTCCCTCGGCGTGTTATCTCTCTATTTCGGGCCGATTTCTACTATAATTCCAGCCGTGCCCTCAAGCCTGGTAGAGGCTACTGAGTGACTGCCAATAGAATCCGGAGGAAATTGTATTATTCACTTCGTATGACTTTACAGAGCTTCATATCCTTGACCCTTCTTACCTATTCGCTTATGACCTCCATCAAAAGCGCCCGCAGGAAAATTTGAATACTAGTAGCCATGAATATTTAAAACAAAGAAAGGCTAAACAAATTTAAATAAGACTTTCTCATTGAAATTCAACTGCAAGACCAACACCGATGGCTAATACTAGGTAAACAAGCATCGCAATCTGCAATGAAAACAAACGGAACAGACAATGGCGACTGGCCGGATCGCCACGACCGGATCGCCACCGTCACTCAGCAACTTCTATATTTCACTCACTTGTGTAATTGTAATTCATTCGAATGTGATTCGTTAATTTCAAATTTCATGAATTTTAATTCTAAATGTTCCCCGCGTGGGCATATTTCGAACCCTGATACTAGCGCATCGCATGCACAGAATCCAGCACCAGTTTACTAAAAGTAACTATTAGTGAACTGTCCTGTAACAGGAGCTGGGAACGGTCCCTAACCCCCATCCGAGTAACAGGAGCTGGGCAATTGAAAACAGATGTGAAGGTACGTACGCGTAGTACTGAAGCCAACCTCAATTTGGGCTAACAAAGGGGTTCGCGGTATCCGCACCCTCCTACGCTACATTTTGTTCACATTACAAAAAAGATCCACATCTACAGTTACACAAAATCGTCATCAACTCCACTTTTTGTAAATGTTTAACTGGTTTTATTTACATATTTCTGTCATTCAACCACTCGTACATGATCAAAAATGATTCATCCCCCATGAACACCCTTCTGATAAGTTTACACAACGTGTGAACACCTCTTGGCCACGTTTTATCTTCTAATTCTCTACTCTCACCATTCATAATCTTCTTTCGTGCAAGATTTCGTGAACAGATCTTACCTTGCGTGTAATCTGTGAGTAAAACAGCCGAAAACAGCAGCAAACTTCGAGAAATGTGGACGAAACCTCTGCACAACGATCGCAGCGCGCGCCCTTTCCCCAACAGGAAGTAGCTGATGACGACCCGGAAGTAGTACTAGTTGTATCGAAGTTGGAGGTCACGCACCTGATTGCCGCCTGAGAATCTGAAGATATGTGTTAAACGACTACAGGAATTCAACCAGTCTGTCCCTATAAGAGGGCCTGCATGGGCGGGGGGTGATTACGAATTACGCAAAATTTTCGTCCCCAATTTAGAATTAATTCCGTTGAAGTGTCAGAGCTGATTATGACTTTACGCTTCGCGGCTAACGTACTACAGTATTACGGATTACGTTGATTTTGGGGGAAGCTGCCCTCGGATTACAAAGATTACGCCTTACGAAAAAGGGCATGCTGGCCCCCCTATAACAGGGCTTTGCCCGGTGCATTAGAATGTCCACCATTGAGTCCCCATTTGTGTTTCACTATTAAATGATGGGCGATATCAACAAAGCAGCGTTCTTCTATTAATTCCATCACAGATGCTGGTCGATAGCAAGATCTACAGTTACACACTAACGCCTCACGAAATAAGAATAAAAAAAGTCCCAATAGTAAATCTAAAGAATATACCAAATCAAGTGACAGCGAGGTGTGCAAATCAGTGTACACTATATAGTTGAATTACATGGCAATGAGTGTGCCGTAGGACTATAAATGATCAAAAAATGCACAAATCATGATTGTCTGTGTCTAAGTTACGTGCAAGCTTAACGCTAAACTACTTATTATAACTTACTTCTTGTGTAAGGTTGCACCATCATACGTTCACGCTGTTTAACGCTTTTCAATACAGCGTGGCTTGGCGTCGACGTTGGATTAATCAAGAAAAGCAGGTGTCAACAACGTCGAAAAAGGTGTTAACCGACGTTGGATTAATTAAGAAAAAAGAAGTGTTACTGACGTTCGCGGGGCATTGTCGCGTCACCAATCATCATCAATAGAGACGGTCCTCCTTTGTGGCTTGAAACAGACAACTTGGGACAACTTGGAAAGGCATATATACATAAGGTGGCCTTCCGTCAGCCTGGCGTTCAGTTCATAGCAACAGCCATGGCGAACGCTTTCCCCTGTGTTGTGTGCAAGAAAACCGTTAGAGCAAGACAGGAGGCCCTGCAGTGTGACAGCTGTAACAGGTGGCAGCATCGGACTTGTCAAAGAGGTAAGTTGTTTCTAGAATTGTTGGGAAAATTGTTCGGAACAATGCTCAAATAGATCTAGAGATAGGCACAAAGTCCCTTGGCTCAAAATCCCTTAATTTTATGGATGGTTTCTTATGGACGGCATCTGCGCGCGCATGGATTTTTGTCAATTTGTAAAACAAAATTGACAATACATTTGTACTGTAAATCGTAGAACGCAGCTGCAAGACGAAAACGACGCCCCCAAAAAATGTCAAACTTTTTTATTTACGCTTGCATCAATTTTGATGCAATATCAGCTACCTGGTCTATTTCTTCCGCTGGTTTTGCCGGCTTGTATTGTACCACACAATGGCACACAAAAATCATGTAGTGACTGTAAATAGCATGTACACTTATCTTCCTATCATTTTATATGCTCTGTTTCAGAAATCACCAGAGATTTCTACCGACAACTCGTGAACGAGACGGCAGAGCTGGGGTTCTGGCAATGTCAGGACTGCCGCCCAATGGAGGGCGAGCCAAACCTGCCTTCTACGGCAGAGCTGCTCTCTCCACCCGCAGACGAGAACACCCTCATGTCCGATCAGCCCGACATCACCTTCACCAGTGGTCCACCCTTCTTGACGCCAACCCCGCCACCTCCGATGGTGTACAACGAGACGTTGGAGGAATCCATTGAATTCGAAGATTCAACGTCGTCGGAGATGGAACTCGACGACCAGCCGGTGCCCCGCACGTACGAAGTGATCGAGGGTGCAACGAAGAGCGGGCAGTCGGAACTTGTCGACAACCTAGGCTACAGGTTCACCGTCCAGCATAGACTACCCGGAACCGTGTACTGGCAGTGCGCCGTAAGACCGAAGGGAGCACCCTGCAAGGCCAGAGTGAAGGAGCACGGTGGCGTGTTCGTAGAAGGCCCCCACGAGCACAATCACGGACCTGACGTCGGCGCCGCCACAGCAGCCCAAATCGCGGCTCGGGTGAAGAAAGTTGCCAGTAGGCTAAGTTTGAGCATTCATGAATGCTAGTATACAAAATAGGCTCAGACAAACTAATAAACCCAACTTTCTTATTCGAATTCGACTGCATGGCCGACGACAAATAGGCAGGACATTGTATGTGATCCCGCTTAACAAACTTTGTAATCTGTAAAATGAAAACAAACATGACAACTGGCCGGGTCACCTCCGCCAAATGGGACTCAGTAAATGGCAAATTCTAGCAAGGGCATTTCTTTTATATCTCTATATATAATGTCATTTTTATATGATTTCTTGTTGCCTGAGGCCAACGATATGATGAAACCTGCAGATGTATATATCTTGAGAACGACTGAAACTTGCATCTGGTTTACTGTATATGAGACATTGAGTAAACACGCAGATTAAAAGAATTGCAAAGTAAATGTTAATGTTGCGTGCCCTTTTTTTCTAATTACTGACTGTGCGAAACCCAGCTTTTTCAACGTTATCCTTGAATGTTTGGTCAACGTTGCATCAGAATCTTTAAATTGCCTGTTGCAGACTCTATCTTTTCCAACAGGTCATGTGTAAACTATAGACCGGAAGCCATCTTTAATACACCAAAAACATTACGAATACGTTCTACGTATGTACGAGTGTATATGTATGCCAAAGTGTTTACGCACAATATATCAGGGGTTTGCACAGGCGCAGTGCGTTCTGCCGACGAGCTCTAAAATCACCACCATACTAGTGTCACGTGACGTGACACCGACTTGTTTACCTGGTTTTCAAAATAGGTCGCCATTCCTGCCATTCATACGTACGGGGTCGCGTCCTTGAACTGATCTCGCCGTGTAACACAAAGCACGGATTACACACATTCGAACGAACATCAGAACCAGCAGTTCTAGATCTATCAAACATGGCGACCGTAGGGACCAGTCTGGTGTTCCGACAGTTGTTTGAGAAGGAGAGCAGTACCTACACGTACCTGCTGGCCGATAAGGTAACGTATACTAGTACGTTCTGTAACGTATACTAGCTAGTACGTACTGTTCCTAGATACAAGCAAGCAACGTGTCTTAAAAATCACAGGGTTTGTGAGATAAGATACGTGATAAAGCGATGTGCACCGGTGACCATAATAATAGGCGTACCATTCTTTTGTTGTAGGATTTTAAGCAAGGCTATGTCTATGACAAAATTCGTACCGACAACAAGTGTCTATGACAACCTTTTTCGTCACAAGACTCGTCTTTTGTACTATGAAAACCTTAAGCTTACCCGACACTACCTACTAATCGCGGTCGCACACCAAAATTACTGTAAGACCAAGGTCCTTAGTAGGACAAATGCGACCAAGGAGGTTAGAAATCTTAAATGTACTACCAAGCGAATTGCAGTATAGACCAGTTACCATTCTCCACAGGTTGACTTAGGTCTTTCCAGTCCATTCCTACCTCCTACTAAGCATATGGGCCTATCCTGATATGTGAGATCTTTCCAGCCTAGCCTTTCTTATTCACTATTGCCGACCCTTGAATCAACCTGAAGTGCCCTAATGGACCTGGGCGGGCGTGCAGTACTCTTAACACCGTAAACATACCGACAAGCCTACGATAGTCTGGCTTTAACCAGGGTACGTAATACTAGTAAAGAGGAGGGGTCGTTCTATTGTTTACCTATGATGTGTGCATAATTTTTAGGTCAAGCACTTGTCTTGAAATGTCTTACATCGTGCGCTGTCCATTTGAATTCATTCACGAGATCGTAATTTAGAACGATGCGACAAGAACATTTGGGTAAAATTTAATGACAACCGTGGATGAACTGTTTTATAGCAAGTGTGTGTCTATATGCGGCCATATTGGTATTTACATGGATAGCATTTGTTTTGTACAAGCTCTATCTGCACAGTTAGTAATTGCTTGCAACAAGATAAATCGTCTATTCACACGCACACATAACCCTCCAACTAAACCTATTATTGTCACTGGTCTGAACTTCTCTTAAGTATACTTGACGACTGGCTGACGTGACAAAATGCCACCTGTTAGTGGCTCTTCTTAAAACAAAACGTACATATCTAACGGCCGATCTGTTTACTCTTGATGCTGTTTATGCCCTCTTCTACCGCTATAACCCATATGGGCATATCGCCGTAAATGGAGAAAAAGTTCCCTGTCCTATTTTTAGAGTCTTCAATCATAATTAGGGTTGACAAGGAATGTGTGTGTGGGGGGGGGGGGCAATTAAGACAATGATAACACATACTATAGGTACCATATTGGGTGTGTGTGTGTGTCCATAAATACGTTGAAAGAAGAATTATGGAAAAGCACCTACATATGCCTACATATTCCCTCCCTTTTTTTCAGTACTGCCCTTAATTGTATGCATATATAAATAAAATCAGTATGTAGTCACTATATACTAATTTCTTTATATAAGTCATTCTTTCTGGCCCCTTTCATAACATTTGACCTCGTAGTGTTTCTAATCAGATTCACCACTTACAAGTGATCATAGTACTAGTATCTGGGTGTGAATACATACAAATGTTGCTTTTGTTGGAAGTCTAAACGTAATACCGATTTTCAGATGAAAGGCTGCGTTGTAGATACGTGTAGAAAGGCAAAGTGAAGCAGCTGTTCTTGCCTCTTCCTCACTTAAGCACAGGGGTGTTCAGTTCCACTGTGTCTTTCATCCAAATATCGGCAGGTGGTCTCTTTGTTAACCCTCAAACTACCGTAGGTTTTTTGCAACGAATCTTACCGTATAGGGTCAAAACTGACCCACAATGTTTTTGCACGAATATAGTTTTTGTGACTATTAATAGAAATCTCAGAGGCAGCCATGAAAGATTATACACCAGCAACTTTCTGACCATTTTCTTTGCAAATGAGAGATATAAAAACCGCGATGTTCTAAGTTTGATTAGTCGAGTACCTTCAATGCATGAAATCTTATCGTAAGTAAACGTACCCGCTAGAAAAGAATCGGAACATTTAAGCATGCTTTAAGGTGCGTAAATAATGAGTTTTGTTCAGTGATAGCATTGACCAGCACCTCCATTGACTGATGGTCGGCATTGCACTTGCAATTGGTGGTACTCATACTTACTCATCAATCGGTAGACTGTTCTTTGCATTGATTGGTTGTTCGTTAATTGATTGACACATTCTCGAACAATATCCCAGGTCCGCACGACTCCCGGTCACACCAACGGCTGTGTGACGTACGTCCTGATGGACGAGTCCATCCGCATGGCCTTCACGGGGGACACACTCTTGGTACGCGGCTGCGGACGAACCGACTTCCAAGAGGGGGACCCGGCCACACTGTACGACTCCGTGTGGGGAAAAATCTTCACCCTCCCCGAGGACACTCTGCTGTTTCCCGCGCACGACTACAAGGGGCAAACCGTGACTACAGTCGGGGAGGAAAAACGACATAACCCCAGACTCACACAAACCAAAGAAAAATTCGTTGAGATTATGAATAACTTGGGTCTAGCGTATCCCAAACAAATTGACAGGGCAGTACCTGCTAACTTGTTGTGTGGGCTACATGACTAAAAATTACCGAAAATCACCTACTAAAACTGTGTACTTTATTATGTCACGTTCAATCTGTTCTCATTGTCGGTACATGTATATTGTAAAAATCTGTAGTGGCTTCTTTCAGAAGTTTATTTCAAAATACCGTGAGTATCACACTGTAGATTTGCTTACATCGTTGTGGGTCGTCGCTTCTGTCTGTACATTAACATTAACATTAACCCTTTTACTCTTTTTGAATGCACATCGTACATGTGTTGTGTCGTGATGCTGGCAAAGTGGTGGTTAGTGCAGGTGGTGTGATACCGAATACATCCGTTAGGCGGCGCTCTGAATAGACCGTGCTGTGCTGCTAGTCTTTCCGTTGGTCGCAGGAGGGCAGTAGTGACGGATAGCATGTATCATGCAGTTAAGAATGTGTAGATGGAATTATGTCTATGTATGTACATGAATTCAACAGTAAATTGTGTGATTTCTATTACTACCGTAACATTACGCCATGAATCTTTTGCGAAAACTATTGCAAGAATGACGAAATTTATCCATGATTTTTTGCTGATTTTGGTTCCTTATGCTCTTTCCTATCACTAGTTGTATATAGCTCACAAGGCTAACGCTATTAATGTCAATCACATTAAAGTCATTAAATTGAATGCCGACTTTCTGTCCTTCCTATATGTGTAAATATTACTAATACCAAATAAATTTGCATTGGCGAACAGTAAGGAGTGGGATGGGCATATTAAATCTGTGTTTCTTTGTTACAGTAGCTGTAGATAAACATTAAGTTATATGAAGTTGTTTTTTACTACCAAGAGGTAAAGAAAAGGATATGGTTACTTGAAGAGTCCTCGTAGTCGAAGAAATTCAGGTTGAGTTTTGCGGCAAGACGTTTCCCAAATTTTACCAGTTTCTGAAAAACATCAAAAACTTGAATAACACACTCCGGTATATACAGAACGAATTCTGGGTAAGCAATGCAGATATTGGTTTTAATTTTAAGGCATGAATTTTAGATATGTAAAGCGCAAAATTTCCTTGACTTGTATACTAACCTCTTTGTTCTTTGTTGCTCTGCATAAATCCTGTCCTTCAATTTTGTATCCCCGAATGACCAGCTTGTAATATATACAACTGCCTGAAATAAAAGGACATAGAGTAATGGAGCATATATAATCTGTGAAGGAGGACTGTATGCATAAATATTCATAAATAATTGCTGTAATTGTAACATAAACTGTACTATAGTGCCATAAGTACATCGACCGGATATTACATGTAGTACCGCATTTTCATGAATAATAGCGTAACCCGGTACCTATGTTCTGTAACGACAGGGGTACTGATACCTAGGTACTGTCATAGCGCCTGCAGTACATCCAGATTTAGACCGGATTTTAGTACCACGTTTTCTTATCAGGAATAAGTAATAGCGTATTAAACCGCCGTGGTTACTATGTTCTGTTCAGACAAGCCTACTGATACCTAGGTACTTATTGTCATAGCGCCTGCAGTACATCCGGATTTAGACCGGATATTAGTACCACGTTTTCCTATCATGAGTAATAGCATAACCGCGGTGGTACCTGTACTCTGTCCCGCCAGGCGGAGGTACACGTTGTGGTAGTGACCGTGGTACAGCAGCTCATCGCCCTTGTACCACAGGTACTCCAGAGACTCCGAGTTCAGCACGAGTTTCCGGGGCTGACGGAAACACCCGATCAGGTACAGGCACGTGACCAGGGAGCTCAGCGTCACCAGGAAAAAATACTCCTGAAATTGAAAAAAAAAAATCAATTTTGGTTGTTGCACCCAAAGCAGCTTCAGAACAGCAAAACAAAAAAAAATATTCTGGAGGAGGAAATATGTCTTGTATATTGATATTTACTGCAATTTTGTAGCACATTTTCGTTATTATTTCATACTTGAAGTGTTTGAAACAGTCCGGAAACATGCTAAGTAAGGAGTTACTAAATACTATTTGAAAGACAATATCGTATCTTAAGAGGGGTAAAACTGAGGTAAGACTTACGTCAAAGTATCCGAAGATGAAGTACCATGAGCAGACCGTCACCAGACCGAAGATGGCCGTCAGGTACCCGAACTGAAGTCTCCAGTCCCTGATCTCAACGGCGAAGTCTTTGGAACAACAAAAAGGCAAGATATATAGTATTACATGGACAGTAGTTCAAGATCAAATGTTTGTATAGACAATTTGACTTTATAGCACAAAACTGTGGAACTGTTTGACACAGTAGTTGTAATACATTTTACAATTTTGTCGACGTTCGGCAAGGATAAAGAGACGTGGTTCGTGTGATAGCTTTTTCTCACAAAATAGCAGAATTTTGTGCTACACATCCACAGCAGTTGCAAGAACTAAAAAGAAATTCGCCGGAAAAAGCTTGTCTTACCCTACACATTGACTGAACAAATACATGGAATGCCACCGAGTGATGTCCTACTTACTGCAAGGCCTTGGACTGTAAACTCAATAAATGACTATGAGTGAGTGAGTGAGTGAGTGAGTGAGTGAGTGAGTGAGTGAGTGAGTGAGTGAGTGAGTGAGTGAGTGAGTGAGTGAGTGAGTGAGTGAGTGAGTGAGTGAGTGAGTGAGTGAGTGAGTGAGTGAGTGAGTGAGTGAGAGGGAAGGAGGGAGGGAACAGCATACAAGGGAAGACAGCCGACTCACTGTTAGGAGAAACCTCCCTGAAAGGGTACGTCGGGTTTTTCGTCAGTCGTTTCTTTAGGAAATCCTCGGGGCGGTCCCAGATGTTCAGGTTCCACGTCACCCAGATTCCAACGATTTCCTTCATGTTAACTTCATGCCGTACTATTTCCTGTGTGCGACAAAGTTTTGTAATTCCGTAAACAAGAAAACAAAAGAGTACGTGTTCTAGAACACTAGTATCACGTAGAATACATGTATACACCCAAACAGTATACTAAATATTCCAGAATGGATACTGCTTGTGAAACCTAGCGCTGTAGTTTCTTGTGTATCCCATAGACGCAATAATTTCAACAAAGAAACATTGATGAGAAAACAATCCTAAAGTTTATATTATTACGACACAGTAAGAAAAGCTAGGCCGTTGACCAATCAGCATGTCCGGTCAAGGTCATCAGAGGTCAATCGGCCTAAACCCTAACAAACCGTCATTTGCACTTCTAGAACGTTGGTTTTTGTGGGAAGAATCGTCATGGAGTGTTTTGGGGACAACAAAATATCGCGCTGGCTGTCATCTAGTCATTGAAATCCTACAGAATCGAAGTTTTAGACCCAAATAAGGACATCTGTAGCGTAAATATGATGGAGCTACCAGGGAACGGTATGGAGTGGGAGTATTCAGATGACGAGGGGGAGGAAATGGAGCAAGATGCGCCCGTGGAGAAAAAGGTACGGAGTTTGGTATCGACTCATCGATGTTCTTCACATAGATGTGCACACTACATTGACATTGGCTTTATTAGGATCCACAATTTAGCCTTACATATTAGCTATTCTCCCGTGGTTCTTACATGTAAAACATCAATACAAAATAACCGCCCCTCGGTGTAACACACCAGCTTCGCAGGCACACAACGCGGCGGCAGCTGGCTATATTACACCGAACGATTTGTTACACCTAACATCTAACTCTAAACATTGTTTAATGCTATATCTACTGATAATGGCCCTACTGTACTTGGTGTTAGCGTGTTTCACTCTACGATAGGAAAAAGAATTTGAACACTTCAGTCCTTGGTTGATAACTCTCACTGGTACTTGAAGGCATGGCTATTTCTTGTTCCTTGTTTTACATCTAGCTGACTATGTGTAGCACGTAGTTCAACCATACGCAATGCATACAAACAACTCTCTAGGACAACATTTTGCGTCTGAATGTGCGTTATATATCATATATTCCTTTCTGTAACTGTGTACTGCTACAGGTGAGTGTCCACGCCTGTAACACATGGAACGAGCTGAGAAAAAACGGGCAGCTGTGCGACGTGAGGCTGCGGGTGGAGGGAGTGGAGTTCCCCGCACACAGGACCATCCTGGCCGGCTGCAGTCAGTACTTCAGGTAGGGGCTCACTGAGATACGTTGTGTCCAGTGTGCTATGGGTTTGGAACCCAGGCTAGTCCTTTCTTCGCAATGTGTACATTTGTTGTATTCAGTTATACAGACAAGTGAATATAACACTAGTAAGTGCAGAAGTGAGCCCTACTAAGTGCTATTTGTTCTGACGATTTTATTATTATCATTATTGTTGTTGTTACTGTTGCTGTTTTACTGGTAACCGTTACGATAAAACATAAAACTTAAAGCTAAAACCGTTAAGAAATCTTACTAACATTTCTTTATCACTGTTTGTGTACAGAGCTTTGTTCACCAACGGCTGTACAGAATCAGCCATGTCAGTCATCGACATTCCAGGTAAGAACACAGAAAACAGTGTAACTGTAACTTTTGTCTTTCAAATCAAATGATAACAAAGAATATGCAGTTTATCTGCAATGTATTGATGCACGTATCCCTTGCACACTCCACGCCCACTTTGAATTTCCAGGAATGTCATTTGCTTGTTTGTTTGTTTGTTTGTTTGTTTGTTTGTTTGTTTTTTAAACTTTGTGAAACACTCAAATCGGCTTGCTAACAGGTCGCTTTTTTATTGAAGTCAGTGAAGTGCGGGAAGGGGCCAGGGCCAGAAATATAATACGATACTGCTTAGTATAATTGAACTCCTAAGAAAGAAATCAACATAATAGTCGCCATGTAACGATCGGTTAATTTTGACCTCAGGAATCTCCGCTGAGATGCTGGAGTTGATTCTGGAGTACGCCTACACACGTGACGTGCACGTGAACGAGGCTAACGTGCAGGAGCTCCTCCCAGCGGCCGACCAGTTCAACATCAACGGCATCGTCAAGGAGTGCTGCAAGTTCCTCAGGCACGTTACTGTGTTAGGTCTTTAGTTTTTGGACTTTATTTGCCTCCGTTAGAAGGGTTTGTTTTGGTTTGGCCATTGTGTAGTGGCTTTACTGTAGGTGTGCATGTATGTATGTGTAACTCGAGAATCTGTCGATGGATATTCATAATATTTGGCAGGTTACTACCTGTTGTAGAAACAAAGGTCAGGCTCGAAAATGGTTTACCTGGCGTTTTCCAACGGTACTGCAGCGGACTTTTTATGCATTTGTTTGTATGTGTAAGGCATAACTCGACAAGCTGTAAAAAGCTCTTAATGATAGTTGGTAGTTTGATTGGAGATAATGTTGCATTTCGAAACATGTTCCACTTCAAAACAAAATGTAATTGCCATTTTGCTTGTCTGCATGTTTTCTTGTAACTTGCAGACGACATTTGAGCCCTGAGAACGTGATCGGGATACGAGAGTTCTCCAAGAGCTACTTCTGCCCTGGGCTCGAGAAGGCCTGCTACGATTTCATCATCACAAAGTTCCCGGATGTCATGGCCGGTGCCCGTAAGTTGACAAATACTGGATTTGTAAAGTCGAAAATTTGGTTAAGTCCAACTTCTTATGTTGGAAATTACAGTTCAAACCTGCTTCATAAAAACGTCTATATTTATTACGTTCTCTCAGCAAATGAAGAACTGCAACTTCTTTCCGTGGACGACTTTGAGAACATCTTAGCGGACGACTATTTGAACGCCAAAGACGAGGAGTTTGTGTTCGAGGGTCTGGTTCACTGGGTCAACTCCGACTTCCCTGCACGGGTAGAGTACGTGCCCAGGTACGGGAAGCTGATATTTCTCTTGACGCATATTTTTGGAGTTAATTTTACAAACATGTATGATTGATATCTCTTGTGATATGCATATGCAGCAGTGTGCCAAGAGATTGATATAAGTATAAGGTAAAACCTGATCGCAGAAGGAAAACATACTGCTTTTGCTCTGTTTCTTCTTTCATTTAAAAAACATAAGGTCAATGACCTGGACAATAAGTCTGTTACCATGGTACCAGGTTGCAGACAGCCTTTGGTGTCAAGTTACATAATGTAGCAATTGGATGGCTATATACTAGTATATGACTGTGTTTGAGTAAGAATAAACAGAGCAGTACTTTGTTAGGCTAGATCATGTGGAGGTTAACATCACGCATTTGCTTTGCAAGTGTATTTCTTAAACACGTTCACTGCGTACGTGTATGTAAATATCATTCTCATACGGCCGCAACAAGCCATTGATGCTATTTTAAGAGTTGTGCAAATCGTATGTCCGGAAAACGTACAAATGGAGAAAAAAGAAGTTAGTAATAAATGTTGACACCAGAATCTAAAGAGTTTATATTTCTGTTTCGGAGCAGATTGTTCCAGAAGGTCCGTGTGGGCCTGCTGAATCCGGACTACTTCATGAGCAAAGTGAAGACACATGACCTCATCAAGGATAACGACGCCTGCAAACCCAGGATCGTGGACGCCGTCAAGTTCTTCTACGACTTGGAGCTCAGTAACCAGGTGTGTGTGAAAATGGTGTGATAAAAAACTAAGCTCAGTAACCAGGTGTGTGTGAAAATGGTGCGATAAAAAACTAAGCTCAGTAACCAGGTGTGTTGAACATGGTGTGATAAAAAAACTAAGCTCAGTAACCAGGTGTGTGTGAACATGGTGTGATAAAAAAACTAAGCTCAGTAACTAAGTATGACGAAAAAGTGAGCTCAGCAAACCAGGTGTGAAGGGAAATTGTGTGATAAGAGATGAGCAGTCACCAGGTTTGTCTGAAAATGGTGTGACAAAAACAGTTGAGTGGCCAGGTCTGTCTGAAAATGGTGTGACCGAAAAGTGACCTCAGCTATAACCAGGTGTGTATGAAAATGGTGTGACAAAAACTGAACTCAGTAACCAGGTTTGTCTGAAAATGGTGTGGTAAAAAAACTAAACTCAGTAACCAGATGTGTATGATAAAGATATGACCCCCAAAAAGCAAAAGTCACGCTTGAAACTGGTTAAAGGTAGGATGCAAGAAACTCAAAAATAGGCACAAAACTCTACAATAAAACTTGGCTTCACCCGAAAACGAAAACACCTACTAGTAGACATGTACCACAAAGATACCTCAGTATGAATATTATGGTTAACGTTAAGCGAAATGTCGAGTATTCTATGCATTTCTTTAGTCACTCAATGACTTCAGCCACCCGCTGGCCATCCCGAGGATACCGTACGAAGTGCTGTTCGCCGTCGGGGGTTGGAGCGACCGCAGCCCGACGCCTGTGGTGGAGACGTACGATACCCGTGCCGACCGCTGGGTGGACGTGGAACCGAGAGACAGCCACCCCAGGTAACGTTAGTACACACAATGTTAGGAAATTGCAGGTATATTTGTGGTTGTTTGTGTTTGAAGGCTATTGGGAACTCTGAGTTCAGCACCAAGGACAGACACTACTGCCAAAGGATTGTTTTTCTGATTGTCGGTACCAAAGAAACTGTATGTGTATAATTCATTTGTGGCTATTTGTGTAGGAGGGCTGATGAGAACTCAGAGTTCAGCACCAAGGACAGACGTTACTGCCATTTGATTATTATTATGGTTATGTTTGTGTTTGTTTGTGTTTGTTTGTGTGTGTGTGTTTGTGTGTTTGTGTGTGAATGTGAATGAATGTGTGTGTGTGTGTGTGTGTGTGTGTGTGTGTGTGTGTGTGTGTGTGTGTGTACCTGTGTGTGTGTGTGTACCTGTGTGTACTTGTGCATGTATGTATGTATGTATGTATGTATGTATGTTTGCATGTATGTATGTATGTATGTATGTATGTATGTATGTATGAAACTTCACAACATCACATTTCTTCCCTAGAGCGTACCACGGCATCGCCTGTCTGAACCAGAAGCTATACGTGATCGGCGGGTTCGACAGTGTGGAATATTTCAACTCCGTGCGGTGCTTCGACCCGGCGAAGCTGTGCTGGTCGGAGGTGGCCCCCATGAACTGCCGCCGCTGTTACGTCAGCGTTACGGTACAGGGCGGACACATCTTCGCCATGGGCGGGTTCGACGGACAGGTATGATCATAAAGCACTAAATGGGGGCTTTGCGAATACTTGTTAGTAAAATGCACTAAATGGGGGCTTTGCGAATACTTGTTAGTAATAAACACTGTATGGGGGTTTCGAGAATATTTTACTGGAAATTACTGTATGGGGGTTTCAAAAATATTTTACTGGAAATTACTGTATGGGGTTTCGAAAATATTTTACTCAAGGGTACTGTATGGGTTTTGGGGACTACGTCGAGGTATTGAAACATTCCATATCAAAGAGCACCACAATCTATGGTAAATCTTTAACTTTTAAATATACCTCAATATTAAATATACTTCAATATTAGATATGCTTCAATATTAAATATACTTCAATGTTAAATATACTTGAAGGTGCGCACGAACGCAGCAGAACGCTACAATCCCAACAACAACCAGTGGAGTCTGATCAGGCACATGACGGCACAGCGCAGTGACGCCAGCGCAACGGCATTGGCAGGGAGGTAGGGACGTTTCCGTACAAATTCACGGCCTAAAATATGATGCTCTCGAGCTGTGGGGTCAACATATATATTATATGAATGTGATTGAGAAAGCATAAACAGAGCAGTAGTTTTTTTTGTGGGATAGACCAAACATTAATATGCATTTGCTTAGCAAATGTTACCTCTTCAGTTTTTTCAGTCCATACATAGAAAAAACACTGTATGGAGGTTTCGTGAACAATTGTTACTAAAAGCATTGTATGGGCATGAGGACTATATGGCGGAAACACTTAATATTGAGGAGCACTACATGGACTTTGATATGGAACAGTCTGAAATATGCTATATTTGCTCACGAGCAAATATCTGCCTTTTTGGTATAATTTTGTTCCCCAGAGTGTACATCTGTGGCGGGTTTAACGGCCAGGAGTGCCTACAGAGCGCGGAGTACTACGACTCCGCCGTGAACGAGTGGATCTCCATCGCCAACATGCGCAGCCGGCGCAGCGGCATCGGAGTCATCGCCTACCGGCACTACGTGTACGCCGTGGGGGGCTTCAACGGCGCCAACAGACTCAACACGGCAGAAAGGTCAGGGGTTAGGTCAGGGTCAAAGGGCAGGTCACGGTCAAGGGTCAGGTCATTCGTGTCAAAGGGGAACGTGTAGATGGGGCGGGAAGGGGTCAAAAGCTGCGACACACACAAAAAAGTTTGAGGGGAAGTTATATAGCCTAACATTACCATGCATGTACTGTATAGATATTCCAGGGACGCGCTTTACCTTAGCTTGACAAGCAGAAATGTGGCGGTAAAGAAATTTGGCGTCACACCGGTGGGAGTTTTACACCATGGGACTTGTAATAGGGAACAGCGATATAAACAAGAACAAGCCGCTAGGGGGCGCTATTTAATATCTCTTCTACCCGAGCACAAGGGCTATCTACCATTCAAAGTTCGTGACCATAGCTTGTTCAGATTATGAGATATCAAAAATAGACGTTCCGCTGCAGTACCATAACAAGCCACCCTTGGGCCTAAAATCTAATCATGATGTCTCATCATACCTACCCACCTATTTAATTAAAACAATTCTTTGGTTATCGTGCAAACTACATGTACACACACACAAACACATGTACCCACACAAACGCTACAGAAAACATAACCTTCTTGGTAAAGGTAATAGGAAACTTTCTTCCTCCTATTTTGCAGGTATGACCCGGGTTCTAACCAGTGGACGATGATCCCCAACATGTACAACCCGCGGTCTAACTTCGGGATAGAGGTGATAGACGACATGCTGTTCGTGGTGGGCGGGTTTAACGGCTACACTACCATCTGTCACGTGGAGTGTTACGACGAGAGGACCAACGAATGGTAAGAACGTCACTATTTTTCTCAGGCTCGTTAAGTTTTTTCCAACAAATTATACAATTGAATGTAGCAGACAACAATATTAAAGGGACCAAAAGCGATTTCAGGGCAGTAAAACTGGATTGATTTTCAAAATCAACTTTCTGATCATTTTCTTTTAATATTATAATAAATTGAGTCATCACCATTCCAGACCATATCGTGTGCAAAAATGCGATGACGCTTGTTTCGTATACTAGTAGTAGGCTGTTTCTTTTATTTATTGATAGTACCAAGAACTCCTCGCGTAGCGTGTTTTGTGGGCTATTTCCAAAGCTTCAAGTACGAAATGATGACGGAAATGTACTCAGAACGTTAACTGTCAGTAAATTTCAATATTATTATTTTTGCCGCCCTGAATTGACTATAGAGGTATATATAAACGTCTCATATACACAAGTTCTTTCGACTTCCTCTCACTTCTTGGTAATTGTATACATGTACATGTAGGTGGCTCTATGTTTAGTTATAGAGTTGATTTATCAAAAGCTGTAAGAATAATAATAATTTCTTCATACTATTCTAATACCTAAATCTTACTTGACACATAATCGAAAAGAATGCTTATTTTGCTATCATACAAGGGACAAATCTTCTCATATCACAATCAAATCCACCTGTAGGTACGACGCTACTGACATGAGTTTGTACCGGAGTGCCCTGAGCTGTGGGGTGATGAGAGGTCTGCCCAACAGGGAGTACTTCTCCATCAAGAAATTCAGCAAGTCACCGCCAGAGGCAAAGAAAAAGGCAGAGAAGGCACACGTGCCTACCAGGACACAGTCTGTCACTACACACGAAGCTATGGCGACAGACGACTGAGAGAGGGCCAGAAAAAAATCACAAATGTATCTGTAAAACTGGACTGTGTAAGACGAAATATACATGTGTATGGTGTCTAGTAACAACATACGAAGCCATGGCAAAAGACGGCTGAAAGAAAAACAAACAAACACAAATTCATCTGTAACCCTGGACTGTGTATGATAAAATAAACATGTGTATACAGTATGGTATGTAGTAACAACACACGAAGCCATGGCAACAGACGACTGAGAGAAAACAACAAACAAACTAACTAACAAAAAAACACAAATTTATCTGTAACCCTGGACTGTGTATGATAAAATATACATGTGTATGTTGTTTAGTAACAACACACGAAGCCATGGCGACAGACGACTGAGAAAAATCAACAAACACACAAATTTATCTGTAACCCTGGACTGTGTACGATATAAGATACATGTGTATATGTGTATGGTGTCTGACAACAACACTTCAAAGGATAATGATACGAATGATCTTGAGAGAGAAAAAACACAAATTTATCTGTAAAACTGGACTGTGTACGATATAAGATACATAAATATGGTGTCTAATAACAACACTTAAAGGATAACGATACTCGTTAATGATACTCGTTATTCTTTGATACTCGATAATCGCGAATGAACTTAATAATAGATTTGTCATATGGAAGTTTTCTTGAATCTTCAGTCAAAGATAGCGGTTGCAGTCACATTCTAAATCTCCTTTAAAAGAAAACTGTACATCAATTTGCGTCATGTAAATCTTAATTGCTTTGATGTGAGTTTCCGTTACTTTTCATACTGACAATACAACACACATAGCCTGTACAGTGGCAAAATGTTACATAAAAATAAAGCGGTATTTTTCAAGTACAGTTTTTTTATACCAGCTTCTCTTTGTTCTTTAGCTAGCTGTATTTTTAGGTCAATGACACTAGAACTTACTCTGAACTTACACCAATTTGAGTTCTTTAACGTGCGTGAGGTGTGGCTCTCCCCAAACACGAGACCTCCATCCCATATGTATTGTTATGTCTACTGTGTCGTTGTGTTTGCATTCCCCCACTCCACAAACTGATACACATAAAGCCCTTGACTTTCCTTCTGAAAAGAACATTGTGCAAAATGCGCCCCATGCGGAACGTTTTTGTATTACAACAAAGCCCTGGTCGCCAGCCAAGGGTATTGTTTCCCACAGGACCACCGTATGTAAACATACTGTCTTTATTTACTGTCAGATAACAACGATAACCTTGTAACCTCTCACTGCTTAAAGTCCTAAATAGGTCGAACAAAAGTTACAAAGAGCTAACTATGGGGAGCATGCCTTATATTCGTTCCCGAAGATTTAAAAAAATACGGTAAATACCCGATACGTACGCACCGATACAATAGAACAATGGGGCAATTTTACTCGTAGCTGTCTTGCCCACCCCTCCCGACAGTGTTAAATGGTACGTCCCAGACAGGGAAGTAGGAATACAGTAGTACACCTGTGAGAAGGTTATATTACCTGTCGTCTCCCGGTTCTGTCAGTAGCAACATCACGTAGCTCAGAGAAATCCTACTGAAAGGTAAGGCTACTTTTCATATATCTCTTCAAGGTATTCTAACAGTGTATTACGTTATGTTGTATGGTGTAGTGGTTAGTACCCTGGCTTCTAAAGCTTATAATTAAGGGGGCACACCCCAGTTTATTTGGGGCCTCTATTCGAGACATTCGAAGCTGCACACCCTCAAATCTAGCGACCGTCTCTGGCGTGGAATAATTCGGAAGGAGAATAACTGTATATGGGACGAAAGGATATCTCTTCAGCTACAAGACAAGCTGAGTTTGGTTTCTTCAACCTTTTTAAGTTTGGTAAAATCAACGGAAAAAACATTATTTTCACTCGAAAATTAATGCCCAAAATTGCGAATTTTCGCGTAGGATAATCCCACAAAAAAAAAATTTCCGGCAGAAATGACTGATGCTGGCAGAAAGACCCAAGCCTTGACTATACCCGAGTAAATTATAAAGAAAATTCTAGTACTGTAATTTTCTAAACAGTCCACGGCGCGAGGGGTTGCAAATCCACCCCTACGAAGCCGCAGAGCGAAAACTAGGTCAAACGGGCGGATTACACTTGGCGCGCAAGGATACCCGGAAGTAAGGTTCGGAGCCAAAAGAAATTTTCACCCCAAAATCACCATTTCTTACACTCTTCAGCCATGTTAATGTTTAATGATACTTCGTGGCAGTTTATAAGAAATGTCACCTCAAA